CTAGGGTACAAAGAAACATCTCAAAGTGAAAGCTAACTTATGTCTGTTTTTCACATCTTTATTTATGCGGGCCATTGTATTTTTTTTTCAGTAATCAAAATGTTATGCAGCAGTTTTCTGCATAACAAATGTTTGTTTGACAGGATTTGTTGATAGATGGGATATGAGAAGATATCTATGTTGTATTATAAGAAAAGGTGCTAAGTTTAAAATTACTTATATTTGTCGTGATAAAGGGTAAAGGCACTTCTTTACATATTTCTTTTCTTTATAATGTTCTTACTATTTATTTCTATTTCTATTTTTCTTTTTGTCTTTTTTATGCCTTCTATTTTTAATCCGAAGTGGTACCTATTAATCTACTTGCATTCGCATGCTTTCAAACTGCGAGGTGGGTAGGAGCTGGGGCAAGTAATAGGAGCTCATGGGTTTCCAGGAACTGGGGTCTTGAACCTGTGCTGTCAGCTCTCAAGCTCAGTATCTTTAACTGCTGAGCCATTACGGCTGAACAAATCTGTACATATAGGTAATCATACTACCTTGTTTAGTAACTATTTACACTTATGATAGTGATGAAAAAGTAACTTTGTGACCAGTCCTTCCATTTACAATCTTCACAGGTCTATAAAGCAAAGGAAAGCTGAAGAAAGATTATATGCTCAGTTGTAATTTCTTTTAATGACTCCTCAGCTCAAATACTGAATTGCCAGTCCTAATTGTGGTCACTAAATGAGGACTACCTGTAAAAGAAACAGTAGTTTATTTCAGGAAGTCAATAAAACATAACTAAAAATCATATGATCTGAGAATAATAGTAGTTATGCTCCTTATGTGCCATTAAAAATCATTTTAAAGAATTTTTGTCAATTAAAAAAATGCCTTTACATTTTCAAAAAGAACCCAAATAAAGTCAATAGAATTGTTTATAAGTAAACATAGGACGGTACTACATCTTTATTTAAATGAGGTTATAATCGGTTCCACCACAAAACCGCGGAGGACAAAATCGCGCTCGACGAAAGCGCGCATTTGACGTCATCACAGCGCGACGAAAACATCGCGCTGTGATCGAAAAATGTAAAAATAAAGCGAAAACCTTACCCTAACCCCCCCAAACCTAACCCTAACCTTAAACCTAAACCTAACCCTTAACCTAACCCTAAATCTAACCCTAAACCTAACCGTTAACGTAATGCTAAACCTAACGCTAACCCTTAACCTAACGCTAAACGTAACGCTAACGCTCTAACCCTAACCCTTAACCTAACCCTAACCCTAAACCTAAACCTAAACCTAACCCTTACCTTTATGTGAATCGGCTTGCTTTAATTTTATTTTTATTTCAATTTTTAATTTTTTTCGTCGCGCTGTGATGACGTCACATGCACGCTTTCGTCGAGCGCGATTTTGTCCTCCGCGGTTTTGACGGGTCACGGTTATAATCAGCTTTAAATCTATTTGGGTTTGAGTCCTTTGAACAGATTTCATGTACAATAAATAAGGATTGAATGAAGTGAAGCAAAGCCAACAGTAGCTTAAGATTAATATTGCACTCATCGCAACTATTAAAAGGCTGAAAGGCTTTTTACATGATCTCTATATGGAGTAACCCTTTGTCTTAGGTTCACCTCTGCTTATCATGTTGTAGTTTCTTATTCTGCCCTTGGATCATTTCAGTAGAGCAGGCTATTCTGTGAATGAAGTTATAGTGAAAACACTGAAAAAGGCATAGGTTACACTATCCATCCATAAGCTGTAAACTTAATGAATAGCTGCGCTCAGAGAATCTCAACACTTAATTTCCAAAGGGCCACATTTCCTGAAGTTGCATCATCTCTGGAGATAGGATTTTGGAAATCAGGAACCCCTCAAAACAAATGTGGATGCGAAACAAAAAGTCTGGATAAAAAATATTCCAAATGGAGAATGTGTTCCACAGTTAAAACTGCTTTATTCATAGAAGTTTACAAGGGGTTCAGAAGTTTCCTTTGTAGTCCTCCTCTCTTAACCTACCACTTCTTCAAACATTTTTTTTCTCCAGAAGTAAAACATAGAATAATCCATTCAGCATCTTTTGATTAATGGGGCTAGTAATCTCCATTTGGGAAAACCACAGACAAGAAATCACTGGGTAATGAACAGAAGAATAAGAGTCCATGAGTATAAACAGACATGGCTTCAAATTCATACAGAAATCAGTTGACACTGTTTCAGTTGACCCTATGTTATGAGGTGAGGTCTCAGCTTCAAGGGAAGGGTTTTGTGCTAGCTGATCTGGTTTAATGGGAAGTGCCAAAACCGCTATTGACTGATAGTGAAGAGTTCAGATTGCTTCCCATGTGGCTCTGAAGCCACCTTTTAATAATGCTATATTGCTCTGCTCTCTCCTTATAGGTAATGAATGAACCAGGAGAACTCCAATTTATTTCATATGAGTTGTCCTTGACATTTGAAAAGGAAGCAATAGAAAAATATTTTGTTAAAAGAGGCACTCGGGGACTTTCTGCTTTCATTTTTATAAAATTCTTGAGAGAAAATAGTTTTAGAGCGGTCTGCCCCATCTCTCTTCTTTTGCTGATATATCTATTGACACAGTCGGTTTACATATGCTATTCACAGAGCACATCGTTTTTTTTTTTACTTTAGAAAGATAAAAGCAATAACAGTGCCCAGAAATGTGATGGCAGGGATAGAAAAAAAATAGCTGGGCCTGAGGGACAAGTTAGAAGAGCTTCCAGATAAATGGTTCCTATAGCTACCACTCAAAAGATAGGCAGCCATTCTGTTTTCTCTTTAATAGAAATAAAACAATGAAAAACATGGTAGAGAAACGTGGAATTGATTCCAATGGAAAACAGAGTTGTCTGAGTGAATATCTTATGTAATATAATGAACAATGCAGGATGATTGCATAATAAAAGTAGCGTCTGGAAGCATCTTACATCTAATTTTTATTACGCAATTCAGGATTTCATAGCTATTCTTGGTCAACAAATAGGTTGCTATTGCAGAGTAGACAAGTTTACTATTGCTCCTACATGTTCACTGCTTCTTGAACAACAGAAAATTGTATATAACTTTATAGTAATTGTAATTAACAGATTAACAGAGTTGGAAGAGACCTTGTAGGTCATCTAGTCCACCCCCACCCAAGCAGGAGACCCTACGCCATTTCTGACAAATGGCAGTCCAATCTCTTCCATATCAGTCATTTCTTTTTCACCCTTTGGGAAATTCCCGTCTAAAATAACAGCAGTTAATTTTAAGCAAAAGACAAAAGCCGTGTTTCTGTTAGGTTGAGATAGCCTGCCTCTGAAGATAAAGGCTCTGAACAACTCTCTGAACAGAATTACAAGTGCATTATATAATACATAAGTACTGCATATAATACTCTATACAATTTCATTTCAATAATTCTTCCTCTGTATGACATTTGAAAGAAAAAAGGGAAAAAAATATCATACCTATCATTAATCACCAGACTTTGGTGGCACACATCTAGAAATACAATACACACAAGATATTTGTTGTATCATACAATCTGCTGCTAAGAATAATGCCATGGCTGACATGCATTAGGAATACCGACTGCTTGTGTTAAATTGAAAGCCAGCCATTGACCCAAGCATGAAAGCTTTTTTCAGCATCTCTGAGAGACTCCAAACTCTTCAGGGTGCTGTTAACACTATGTTGCTACAGAAAGGGTGACTGAATTAATCTGAGTGCAAGTAGGTGCCACAGAACAGCCATTCTGGGACCTCATGTAATAAGGCAACCTGGCCACCTGGGTGTAAGTCAAACAGATGGAATGAAAAGGGAGATGCACATACTGTATACATTTGTGCTCAGTAACAATCCTTGCGACATGTAAGTAACTTGCCGTCAGAATCAGTGCAAGTAAAACATCCATTAAGATTCAGCAGTTAGATTAAGAAACAAATAACACCAAACACATTTTCTGTTCTTAAAAAAAAAAGAAAGCATTGTATTTCTATAGGACCAATTGTGTTCTCTATGTAAAACTGCATAGAAAATAAAGTTAAAATGATATGTGTACATGCAAACACATAATAATCTATCACCAAAATATGGACCACAATAAAGATTGTTAAAACTATTACAAGGTTTTCAATTGTATTAGTATCATACAAAGAAGGACAGAAGCTGCTTAATCAATTGGAGTTTAAGAACTAGTAATTCTAAACTTATTTATCCAAAAAGAAATTCCTCTAATAAATCTGACTTTCTAGCAAGCAAATATTATAAAGGCTCTTTAATACAAATCGTTTGCCAAAACCATCTTAGAATTATATAGTACTTAAAGTGTCACTATACTATCCATATGTAATATAGATTTTACTCAATGTTGCATAATAATATTTGCTGGATTATTCATATAACAGAAAAAGGGGCTTTATATCTCCCATGTTTTCAAAAAAAGTAAAAAAAAAGGCAATATCAGAAGCAAGTATAATTTTGCACATAGGACAGGATACCTATCTTTAAATAAAAACTATTGTGTACAGGACTAGTAATAGACATAGGCAATCATAAACAAGCAAGTGTGCTTTCATAAAGTCTGGTACAAATAAGTAGACTATAATCTTAGGCAAACTCATAATGATTTCAATAGAATTGTATTCTAATTGTGGGCAAAATTGGGCCCTTAATTGTCAGATAAATATCTAATTTCCAAATCTAATTTCATTTAACTTCCTGCAATGGGTTAAAACTGTACTAGAGTAGAAGTCAAAAACTAATAAGAAGATAGATTCTTTTGGATCCTTAAAATACATGTTCTTCAATAAGATCTCAGTTAAAGTCTGAAAAGTGTCTTGCGAAAACCTGGAACAATATTAATAATGAAGCACTATTAACTTTGCTCAGACGAAAGAATGTAGTGGCTCTTGTTGGAAATTGTATAACTTTTCTTTTTCCATCTTCTCATCTGTGAGTGATGTCAAGTATGAATGTTGAGCCTGATTTGTTCTCCTTTGTAGAGCCAGGCTGAGGCCCACTACAAAGGAAGTAAACATGCCAAGAAGGTCAAAGCACTAGAAGCAACGAAAACTAGACCAAAAGCAAGTCCTTCCAAGAACAGCGCAATGGCTAACATGAACGGCTCTGCTACGCCGGTCCCGGCCAACATCTCTAACAAATCAGGTCAATGAAATTTTCATTCTCTACATTCTTTGCTTTTCCTTCTTGAATTGCGTGAGATTTTTGTCTAGATGCTCTCTGTCTATTTCAGTGCCAATATTTGTATTAAAATTGTCTAAAGCTCTCCTTTCTGAAATAGAAAGTGATTGTTAAAACTGGTGGGTCAGATTTCCTACAAAGCTTCATTTGGTCTTCCTGTTTCCCTACTGAATATCTATTAAACTTTTAGTCACTGACCAGTGATTGGCAAAGAGTGATAGCAGATCTAATAAAGAGATGCATATTCAGCTGTCTGTGTTAAAAGTTGCCCCCAGCTCTCAAATGGATAAAGAGAGATTCTCCACTGGCCCTCAGTGTGGTGCTGTTTGCTGTTAAATGGCCCCAAGCACATTATTTTTCGTACATATAAATATCAGTTGTTGTATTATGCCACTAGTTGATAACCCGGCATTGCCCGGGTATTTATTTATAGGGGAAAAATGTCCGGACCAAACGTAATTTCTAATGGATTTTCCCCCTTACCAGAGGGAGCCCCCTTGTAGAGTACTGTGAAGCCGTTACCATGGCAACTCCACTGTGCTGTACAATAGAAGCCATTTTAAGGCACAACAGGCTGTATCTTAACAGAACACACACCCCAAGGGGTGTCAGGGGTGTCTTACACCCACAGTGTTTTTTCCAGAGAGTAACTCATCTATGTACCAAGTTTGGTGGAAATTGCTTGAGGCGTTCCAGTCATTTTTATATAGAAAGATTGGTAGTTAATATATACTTATATCTCATCTTGGGCTAATTATTAAAAAATAGCCTACTTTAATTTATATAGGCAAAGGTGAATAGGACCCATTTTTTTCCAAGGTGGGAATTAATGCAACCTGCAGCACATTACCCACTGCAATATTTTACAGATATCTTATTTGCACAGTCATAATATAATATCAGAGATCAAACCTGTTGTCTCTAATCTATAAATATTGACACTCAACAAGGGCTACTTACAAAACTTCCATGAGTAAGATCTGTTAACCTTCGTCTCTCTTGCTACTTTTAGGTTCTACTATTGTCAAAAATTAAAGGATCCCCCCCGCCATTCCTCATAATCTGTTAGTTGAAAGAGTGGGTATAATTGAGCTTCCCCATAGTTGGCAAGCAGAATCAAAGCTAAGAAAGCTAGTAAAAAGGCTGTGGGGAAGCTACCAACAATCCTGATCTCAATCCAGTGATCAATTGTGCCTGCAGTCATAGCTATATGTGTATATAGCTGAGAAATGTGCAAAAACTCTTAATTTTCACACAGACAGGCTTTTGCTAGTTTAGTGTTCCAAGGGGGTCAGAATAATGAATTAGAGGGCAGAAATGTGTTTCTTGTGTGAGCAAGTTCTTGGGGCTCTCTGGGGAAGGTTGAATCACAATAATAAATCTGCAATTTCTAGATAATAGCATTTAGTTTACTATTTCTTCTCTACTTTATTTCCTCTCTTCCACTTGATAATTAGTGGAACGGTCTTTCTATGTAATCCTGTAATCTATGGTAAAGTTCAAGCATCATCTGCAATATTACAGTTCTTTGTAAATCTAACAATGGAAATATAATTGGTTCCACACCGGAGGAGGTAGGAGAGAATGCAATAGATTTTAAATTTAGTCTGATCTTTACGTTAGTAAATTTATAACTATGATCTAAAGGAAGCATGAAGCATTTTAGAAATTGTGTTATAGATATAACTGGTATATCAGGATCAGCAGTTGAATCACAAATAACCTGAAGTGGATTACATCACCGTGGGCTATTGCCTGTCAAGCAAAGCCAATGGGGAAGCCAGTTTCCCTTAACAATGGTGTTACTAATTTAACAATTGCAGCGATTCACTTAACAATTGTGGCAAGAAAAGTCGTAAAATGGGCAACATTCACTTTAACGAATTTCTCATTTAGCAACATAAAATTTGGACTCAATTGTGGTCGTACGTTGAGGACTATCTGTACACGTTAGAAGAAAACATTGGTCTCTTCTTCGCAGGAATTGAAGGCTATTATCATACATCAGGAATTAAGAAGATAAGTTTTTAGAGCCTGAGATCCATAAAATGTATGTGACCACAATACAGATATGGTGTCATAGGTTCCTTCTAAACTCTTCTTTTAAAGACCTTTTATTTTATTTTATTTTATTTATTTTTTAATCTGAATGGCCTATTTGGGGAGTTAAATTGCTGTTTTCAATTTTAAAATGGTAGGATATTGAGAAGCCACTTTTCAATAATTGAAGAACTGAAGGCTGCAGGTAGTCTATTCCTTGCAAATGGTTGCTCTGTGTGTGTGTGTACATAGATATAGGCATACATCAGAGATGGGTTTCTGCCAGTTCGTCCCGAATCAGGCAAACTGGTAGTGGCGGTGGTGGGAGGCTCTGCCCACCCACCTGGACACTTCTGCGCATGCGTGAGCGTGCACGAGCGAGCGAGTGAACCAGTAGTAAAGTAAATTGAAACCTACCACTGGTATACACCTATAAAATCTAAACTTAATTTAGCTTACAAGAAGAGCTAATGATTATTACAAATTATTATACAAATTATGGAAGCTGAGAATAACAAGCAGATACCTACAGTGGAGCTCATATTGATTTAATTACATTCCATCTAACATCCACTGAGAAATCTAGAGAGACAATAGGAAATTCTCCTAGTGGGTAATAGCTGCCAGGGCTAATCTGACACAAAGACACCCTTCCCCATTCTACAAACAGGAACTGACTAGGATGGCAAGTAAACCTTCTTCTGTCGGTACTACCGACGAGGGTCCTTGTTCAATCTTGTCCGAGAAGTAAAATCCAGTTTAGAGAACTCAACCACGTATCGGCTTGCACTGGCTCCCCATTGCCACCCTTTATGAGATAATTGCAGGAATTATCATACTTGGCCTAAAGGTAGAGCTTGACCCCATATATCTACCATTGTGATCTTACAAGCACAAGACAATTACATTTACCTTTAGACAGAAATATGATAGAAATCAAACTGTATTTTCATGGATGGGACTGGACTATTACGAATAATACAGTGTAATTTGAAAACAATTGTTAAGCAATAAAACCAGAATGAAAAAGTTTGGAGGTAACATATACAGTGTTATATTAATGATACAATTGAAATCATTTTGGGCATCTACTTTTTTTTACTATCAGTATACATTATCTCTTGTGTATAATAAAGCTGTATCTTTACCCCCTCTGGGCTTTGTTTCTAAATAGGAAGATAAAGCATAATAATGAAAATAATATGTCAGCAGTAAAAATATAAGTATAAATGAAGAGAAAGGAGGAATAAGTTCGGTCTTTATCAGTGCAAGATGTTGATAGTGCTAGAAATGCCACACAAGTTGAACTGGAGAAATAAGAGGAGGGTTTTTTTTTAATAAAGAACAGAAATAGGTAAAGGAACATCAGAAAGAAAGAGTTTCAATGAAATAATAGAACAGCTAAACAAAAAAGCCCATGAAGTTTATAACGTTACCAGCTCTGGAAAAAAATAAAGGATACTATCAACAAACAAATTAAGCCTTAATAGAATTATTGTATGTATGTATGTATATGTGTGTGTATGTATGTGTATGTATGTGTGTGTGTGTGTGTTGTATTTGTGCTGATAAATAAATAAAGGGAG